GCTGTTGTATGTTTTTTTTTTGCTCTACCAGGGTCTGCTATCAACACTTGCAAATGTCTTCTAAGCATTAGAATATCAAAAATAAAGTGTCAGTCCACGCAAACCTAAGTAGACCAAATAATTTAGACTCTTATGCTTCCTGGACTAATTCTTTGACATCCTGGAGAGAGGGTATTGTAAGTGGGCCGACTGAGCGGAAGGTAGATAGCTGTGGGACCTGCCTTCCGCTACAGTTGAACTTCCTGGTGATTTCATAAAGAGCACCCCCTTTCCCAAGTACTAACCTACAACCTTCAACCATCACCACCACCATCACCATCACCATCACCATCACCATCATCGTCTTCGATCATGGGGGAACTCCGCCCAGGTCCTATCATCCACATCAACGGACATCCGGGCGTCGGAAAATCCACCATCGCAAAGAGGCTCACCGAGCTGTTTCCTCATCTCATGCTCGTGCATGACAAGCTGTTTACCGACCTCACCGATGCCCTAGTACCACGCGATACCGAAGACTATTTCAAAGTCTGTGACAATTTCGTCGCAGCTTCCTTCCAGCCGATTCAATACTCTGAGGAGACCTTTGACCTCGGATATATCTTCACCGACTTCATGCCGAACGATGAACAAGGTCGCGTTAGCATGAGAGAATACATCCGCGAAGCGGCAATTCCTGATGACCGTCAGCGCGAGTTCATAGCCTTCACACTCATTTGCGAAGAGCAGGAAAACGTGCGTCGACTTATCTTTCCAGAGCGACAGCAGAGTGGGAAGCTCACCGACCCCGAAGTCCTGCGCGATGAACGCACCAAAGACTGTCAGCACGATTACCTTGGGGACTGTCATCATATCATTGATGTTACGCATCTGGAGGTCGATGCAGCGGCTCTTGCCATCGCCCGACGCGTTGGACTACAGCTAGGGTAGAAAGTGTTTCTGAGCTGCATCTTCATATTCCTGAAGAGACGAGGCGGGGCAAGCAAATAAATGGCGTTTATGGTATAACTACTCGACTGTTGCTTTGAAATTACTTATTGGGGAGCTTACCTGGGTGTGGAAAGCAGATAAGGACATAACAGAACTTATATCGCTGTTGCGCATGGTTCACAGCTGGAACGAATACAAAAACATTGACATCACAAGTTTGGAGGGTAAACTATTCTCGTGACAGAGTCTGTATTAGAGCGATTTGAAGAAATCGCCACGTCTATGTAAACCACTGTGACCCTTCTAGCCCCTTCATTCAAGGGATAATAGTCGATCCCAGCCTGTCGATCCCAGCCTGTCGATCCCGAGAGGTACTACACAGGGTAGTCTTCGTCTCCAACCACAAACTCCAGATCCTTGACGTCCAAGATATCAAGCGTTCGATCGATGACTTTTTCGATGCATTCCACACGACGTTGGGCAACCTCGAATGCACGCTGCACACGATTCAGGGCGATCTCCCACGTTTTTACATCTCGCATGTCCTCAATCTGTCTGGTCATCCAACGGCGAAGTTTCTTCACCTCGTCCCAATTCTCGAGTCTGTTGTCCGCGTCGTGAAACTTCTCAGTTGCATTAGCGTGAGCTCTCTCTGCGGCGTCCACGGTTTCTTTGGCAGAATTGAGAGCCAGTCTGGCGTCTTCCAGATTTTCTTCCGTATTGACTCGATTGAGTGCCATTTCATCCGCGTTCTGATAAACAACTTTGTACCGAGCCTCCAGCAAGCCAGGTTCCATTGTCGCGAGCTTCTCTGCCAGCTCGAGCTTGCGACGCTTGATGCTGTCGGGCGATGGGGACGATTCGCGTTCACGCTTGATGGATGGCGGATCGCCGGGGGCGGGTGACGAAGTCATGTTTTCGCAATGTATATATCGCAGGACGGTGAACACCTGGAGTTGATCAGTATGGGAGTGTTTGCGCCAGTCTAGTGGCGGATCTTGTAACGAGCTTGACATACTAGTGATCAAGAGTGAGGGTTCTCAATGGAAGGTGATGGGTAGAAGTGAGGTTGATGGAAAGGGAAGAATATCCTAGGATGAGAGCAATGATACCAATCAATGTTGGAGAAGCTTGTGAGTGAAGATGGTGCAACGGGGATGAAGAAGAAAGGAAGAGGTAAAGATGAAGGAGATGGGTAGGCAGAAGTGACCGATCGTGATTCACAGTCGATCAGTCTTAGGCAGGATGAATCCATTGATTTGGGAATGGATTCATGGCTCTGTAGACGAGACCATGGGATGATTCGAAGTTACTCGGACAATATTTCAACCACGCCCACCAGAGCATGGTCGGAGACGGTGCCGGTTACTGCATATGCCACCCTTCACGTAGGAGACCACCTTCTCTGATGTATTTTTTATATTATGCATTATTTCCCCGTAATCCTACCATCAAGGATCCGATCTTCATCTTGCATAGGTTACTGAAGCAAGATGACTTCCTTGGCGACGAACCATGAAAACTATTACTACAGCATCCTACCGGTTGCAAATCAGTTGAGTTGATTGAATAATTCCAGACGAGCTTATCCACTGAGCAGTATTTTAGCAAGACCAAAGAGGTAACCTCTGGGCGCATATTTTGATACCACCGCTCAAGTGAGTTCACATCAAGCATCTTCACAAGCAAAAATAGAAGGTCACTTCTTACAGAAGTTAAAACTAATGAAGAAGGCAAAGCAAAAAAATATCAGCTCCCCGAAACCTGGATCGAACAAGTGACCTTTCGATGACATATAACAATTACAGTCGAACGCTCTTCCAGCTGAGCTATTCGGGGAGATCTCCGTAAACGGAGGAATAGCTATTGTTGCGACGAGTGGCTCGTTTTAGCGATTATGTAGGGCTCACCTCTACTGTAACAAACAGCGCCGGCGATTACCGTTGTAACGCATTGATCCACATCACTGGCTGTTAGACGTTTGATGCCATGAGCCCAACGGAAGATTGAGAAATAGGTAGATTAGAGTATGCTGAAGATTTTTGCGCATGGACTCCGAAGCAAATGTAACGGGCCTGAACGCTGTTTACATCTTGGCACGCCGACGCGACACAGAATTTTAGCATAGGTACCAACGCACTTGGATTGGCCAAGATCCTCCACACAAAGTTCCAAGGGACGCCAGGTCATGCAAAAAGCACAGATTAAATCCCCGTACCTGACTTCCGCTGTCAAATCGGGAATTCCCTATTTTTCTAGCCTTATCGAGCATAAGCCGATGCCAAGTAACGGTTTCAGCACCCGCGCTGACCCCCCGGCCAGGCCGGATTTTGAGGAGCGAAGCTTAGCGAGACTAAACGAGGTTGTGGAATGCAGGAACGACACCAGCTGCATTGCCCGTCTCCGAGGGCTGTGCAATGAACGACCACAGACAGTTTCTGATACGAAAATGAAGCTTTGATATCTAACTTTAGCGGATATCGAGAATGTGATTCCTTATAAAGGTAAAGCAGACTCCCATCTTTCCGAGCTAGCTAACAATTCTTCAGTCAACGCACTTACTTTATCGAGCTTTTCTTTAGTCTTTTGTTCTTTAACCGTCTCTCGTTTAACCTTCCGAATCCATTCGCTTGACATTTTTTCTTTCTTTTCGAACTACTACAATCACTACCATCATGAACATGTTTCCACGAGACGCGGCCACCGACGCCGCCGCCGCGGGCGCAGATGCAGGCGGTTTTGCGCTGTACCACTACGAGCCTTCAATGGCAGGCGGCGCCATCTTTACTCTTCTCTTCATCGGCACTACTCTCTTCCACGTCTGGCAATTGTATCGCGGACGCTCTTGGTTCACTATTCCGCTAGCTGTGGGTGGTCTATGTAAGCACTCCTGGTGAAAGACACAGAATCAATACTAACTCACTCCCCAGTCGAGCTTGTCGGATATGCCGCGAGATGCAAATCCTCAAACGAAACACCAAACTGGACCTTGGGTCCATATATCATACAGAGCATCTTCCTACTCGTCGCACCAGCCCTTTTCGCCGCTACAATCTACATGGAGCTTGGCAGAATCGTCCAGATGATCGATGGCGAGGGAAGGGTCATGATCAGCAAGAAGTGGATGACCAAGATCTTTGTTACGGGTGATATCTTGTCTTTCTTTCTACAGGGCGGAGGTAAGTGAATACCACACCAGAAGATCTGAGTCGTGACTAATTTTTAAAGGCGGTGGTATTCAAGCCTCTGGTTCACTTGAAGCCCTCGACACCGGATCTAAAATCATCATTGGAGGTCTATTCGTGCAACTCATCTTTTTCGGCGTCTTCGTGGTCATCGCCATCGCCTTCCACCGCGCTATCGAACAAAACCCAACCGGTCGATCGACCACCGGCCTTCCTTGGAAGAAGCATATGATTGCGCTCTATGTTGGCAGCTTCCTCATTATGGTGCGATCTGTCTTCCGAGCAGTCGAGTATCTGCAAGGCTTTAATGGATTCTTACTTCGTCATGAGGCTTACCTCTATATCTTCGACGCAACACTCATGTTCATGGTTATGGTCCTGTTCAACTGGCTTCATCCTTCTGAAATCACCACCATTTTGGAGGAGCGCAAGACAGGCAAGGGATACAGCATGGGGGCTTTCACCGAGTGTGCTTAGTATCGTCACCGGCGAACAGGAAAGGGCTTTTTGATAAAACTGTAATCCGGATATTCATTGTTTATTGATTATATAGACCAACCACCTGAAGAGGCCAAGCTATCCATTTTCTCCAATACGCACCCAGCAAATCGGATACTACTTCCACAATATCGTACCCCCAGCCTTCCATGAACCAAGAATCATTGTTGAACCGATGCAAAAGCGCACCGTAGAATGCATACAGAATCAGAGCTGGCGGTTGTCTCTGCCGTAACAAAGTAAAGTACGACTCAGGTGCAAAGGGCACAAAGAGAAAAGGTCCCTGCCACGACATGTTGTATATCGCTTGATCAGGCGACTCGGCCTGTAGCCCAGAATACTGAGCGCTATACATCCTACACCGCCTCAAAACGTGCAACGTATCCTCATAACTCTGCGCATCAGGATTGTCCTTCCATACATCGCGAGTTTGACAAAAATGCTGGTCCTCAGTATGGTCAGCTTTCTCAACATCCAAGTGATCCCAATTACCGATACTCATAAGCCCTCCCAATGGCCCCCCACATAGAGTATAGAATGACGGGCTCAGAACAGCTTGGACTCCGCGAAGCATTGGGATCCAGCCCAAGCCTAAGATCCTATCTTTGCGGTTTCCCCATTCTGACTCGTCCCAGAGACCTTCGCCCAGACGTCCTGAGACGCCGAAGACATAGAGGAGGTTGAGAGACGACCATGCGAATAACTCATTCGCTGTTTCGTCATTCGCATGCTTCAACGCTTCGTTGAAACCTTGTAAGCTCTGGTTGTGATATCGGGATGCTTCTGCCGCATGGCTGAGTCTCTGCTCAGGTTCGAGGTATGCGATATGAAGTGCTGTAAGACCGAGCATAGCCTGCATCACAAATGGATGCTTGAAAGCAATCTGTGGAAAGTTGAGTTGGAAAAGAACCGACAGCGCTGAGTTCTTGTAGATATGGTGAGATGTCGAAATAGTCCAGTGGTGAAGAAGAGCCATATCTCTCACACCGTATGTCGATTCATTTGTGTGGTCTTTGAGGATAGATGAGACTGTGGTGGATGAGATGCCCGGAAGTGGCGAGACATGTTGATGTGGCGAAGTCGCATGGTTTTGCTGGGTTGGTGAAGGGTCTGCAGATACAGACCTCGCTTCAGGAAAAGGATACTCGCATTGAGCTCCACGTCGCTGACAAGCGCGACATTTGGGTCTTTCTTCAGAGCACTAAAAGTCAATTAGCCAGCCATCAGAAGCATTAGTGAAGCTTAGGAATACCTTGACTCGTCGTCGTCTGCAATCATTACACCCAGTCTTAACTTTTTTGTGACCCCGACGCAACTTGACACCCTGCCTCGCCGAAACTACGTCATTGTCTGAGTCGTTCATGGCCGGAACGTGTGGCCGAGCGATAAACGAGGGAAAAGGAAAAAAGTGCGGAGCTTTGGCTTTTGATCGTTGACGGAACGAGAGAAATAGGAGGAGCGAGGTTTGACGTGGCCTGAACGAGGTGCAGGTTGTTTTTAATTTCGCCGATTGGTAGAGTTGATCCACTGAATCCCCGCCTCTAAGCTAAGAACAGTTACATTCGGAATCGCCCGAGGTCTCGCTGTTCGGTTTAATACGAGGATGAGGGCCAGATGGATGACCGAGGTACGATAACAGAAAGGTTATCTCTAAAATTTGGGACGCCAAACTAGAGCATATTGACAGCTGATAAGATAAAGCGACCGAGACGTTTCGTGTCCTTCGCAGTGGTCATTCTTATGATTATATGATGCCCGGTAAATTGCGAAACCTTATTGTACAGACTAGTAAATGATGCCAATGATGGTAGAGAAATTTGAAATTTGAGTAGTTTATAATCTGAACATCTAACAATCTATTTGATATAAAAGGAAAAATGGAAAACGCAGAAACTGTAAGGTAGAGAGACAGTTATAACCAAGGACCTGAATCGTCTCTGTCTACTTCCTCCGTCTACCATCGTCGTCGACTTCGGGCACCTCGTACGAAGACAACTCCGTGTTCTCCATATCCGAACTCTTAACATCCTTTTGAATGGACTCGACATACCAAACAACCAGAATGACCATAACCAGCGCCATCAGGATAGCATCAAACACATATAAGAAGATCTCGTGCGATATAAGATAGCCGTCGTTGCCCTGAAGATATTCCACCACACGGAAGATGCTTCGGACGAGGATAAGAATGCTCGATGCATAAAGAACGTATAGATATCGCTTCCAGGGAACGTCGCCGCGCAATGATTCGGGCGTTGGGAATTTGAGAAGGCGGTAGTGGAATAGAACTGATGTGATGACGAAAAAGCCGAAAATGACGATCTGTACCAAGAGACCGGCGATGATGATCTTCTCGCCTATGTTGTAGAGATCTAGTGTTCCAGCAGATTGGATTCCACCGCCGCCGGCTTGTAAGCTGAACGCGATGACATCCCCCGTAACGAAGATGCGTGTAACCCATTGGACGGGTATGATCGAAAGGTGAGACGCGCCGACGGTTCGAATGAGGCGACCGAGGATCATGTAAATTGACGCAGCAAAAAGGGCGGGCGCGACGAGGATGGGAATGGCTTGGAGGACGAAGCCACCGACCGAGAGTTTATCGAAGTGACTCCATATTCTACCAGCGTAACCAATAGTCTCAACTAGAAAAATCATTAGTAAAATGGACAAGTTGATGATGTGGGAAGAAGACGTACAGAGACCACCGATTGTAAAGGCAGTGAAGTAATATGCTCGTACTCGGAATAATCGCCATGTATGCGCTGCTGTGAGGATGGCGAAAACAACCACGCTAACGATTGCTGCTGGTAAGGATGGGTCGTAGCGGTAGAGCTTGAAGTCGAATGCTGCTGCGTCGTAATCGGCGCTGTAATCGGTGTCGGCCATGGTGACTGGATTAATGATGGTGAGTATGGAACATAACAAAAAGAAGCAGGCTGTTGGAATGTTTTATAAACGTTGATTACTTCAAGGCCAAGGCGCATTTGATGGTGGAGTAAGTGGCTTAGAAGAATGGCGAACGCGAACGAGGTTGAGCGAGGTTAAACGAGGTCTGTGTACGAAGCTAAACGAGACTTGGCGGATTGCAGATTTTTACTCCACCACTTTAAGATTGGACGAGATGAAGCTTGTTTTGAAGTTAAAAATAGGGGTGCACAGCCTAGATCAGTTCTCCGATTGCAACTTGATCTACCAGAAGATACCCTGTTCCAAATTGACCTGTTCTGGCGTTATCGCAGGAGGACAAAGCACCACGATCCCATTCTCTTCATCTTCCTGGCCAGGAATGGGCCCATCAATATCCAACTCCGCCATTAACATTCCAACCTACATATAATCAGCGGGCACTCAAATGCATCACAAGTTTGAACTTACCTTTCCAACGGTTGTTTGATCCACTCCAGAAGCTCTCAAGTTCTGCGCCAACCGCACAGCCAACGACGCAGCAAACATGTTCGTCTTTCCAACCTCGGTCATAACGCTCATAAGCGCTGTAAAGTTATCTTCGCTTTGACGATTGCCGGTTGTCAAGAAGTCCGTCAGGAAGAATGATGCTGCGATGAAGGTAGCGAATGAGACGAGAGGATTGCGGAATCTGATGGTCAGGTCATTGACCAACGCAACAGTCATCATAATTTGAAGTGCAGACTCCATAACTCTTGAGTTAATATGTGGCAATAGCGCCATATCCATCTGCGACCGGGTCGTTACCGCGCGATGAATACAGATCAGAGCTGTGTGTAACTGAAGATTGATGAGAACAGCAGCAGGATTATCCATGTTCTCAGGACATCGCAGATCAGCAGGCAGAGTCGCAAAGGCGTTAGTGACCGCCTCGTCTAACTTTTCAAGTTGACTCCAGTCGTTATTATCTTCGTCTTCTTCGCTCGCTCTTGAGAAGTTGAAGCATTCGTTGAAGAGGTGGACGGCGACGACTCTGCAGGCGCTCGTGGAGAGCTCGAACATGCCTTGGCCGAGGGCTTGTTTGAGTGTTATTGTTGGGACTGGGGTACTGGAGAGGAAAGCGTCGATAGATGTTGGTAATCGCGTTTGTATCTGCAGTGGTCAGCTCAGGCGTAGCTAGTCTAGAGGGTGGTACGCACGCTGCGCCAGTCCATCATCGTAGGCCAACCACCAGTGCTACTCGTGATCCGATCAGTCGTAAAGATAATCCAAAACGTGTTTCTTCGTTCTTCCTCCTCTGTGAAGTCCACGGCGACTGGTAACATCAGGCCAGCAGCGTTCTTACCATCCAGGCGGTGAAGTCCGAGAATATGTCCTAGTCGGATGGCCCGGGCTATGCTCATTGATGCTCTTGAGAACCACAAGTGCTGGGCTTCGAAGTGGCCGATGAGAACCCATGCTTGGCAGTGGGCCAGTGTAATTTGTTCGCTGTCGCTCTGTTCATGATATCAGCGCTTTCGTTCATGACTCTGCTTTGGTGGCCTCTTACCTTCATCTCATCCGCCTGAATATACTGCCGTGCTCGCACGTAGAATGCCTCAGCCATATGTCCGTACATAGGTGATGCACTTGCTCCAGCAGCCAGGATGGCATATTGAAGACACACGGGTGGTTGCATGTGTGTCGGTCTGTAGAGAGAAGCGATATATCTCTCGCCGTGGATCATGAATGAGTCGGACTGGAGTTTGGTGAAGTATATAGTGGTGCTAAAATCAGTCAGTCCTTCTCTCATCAGCAGGGCATATCAAAGACCACTCACAGCTCATCAACCAAATGTGGCGGCGGCAACCTCTCAAACCGACCAGTGTCAATGAGTTCCGTACTGAACGAGAACTCAGGCGGACTACTCTGCGACTCCAACCTTGCCTCCAAGTCCCCTCAAAAAGTCAGCATCTTGAATCAACATTCAAGCCTCAACTTACTGATTCGACTTTGCATATCGCGCAACTTTGGTCTCATGGCCGGATTAATCACGGGCTTTTTCCTGGCGGAAGGATAATCGCATTTCTCGCCCGTCTTGGCACAGCGACTACATTGCGGAAGGACTTTGTCGCATTTCAACTTTCGAAATCTACATAATTGGCAGGACCATGATGATAGTGTGCCCAAGTCAGATTCGGAGCCTGAGGGTGCTTGGGGGGAGTGTGAGGAGCGGGAGCCTTCGGACATGGTGGTTGGTGGGGTATGTGAATGTCCAGGTCTTGGCGAACGTCGAAGTTGGTTTATGGGAGCCTGTTCTGCATATACAGTTTCGGTCGTCTGATTCAACTTAATGAGGTTAGAAGATCAATATGTGAGAGGATAAATAGGTGGGTGTGTTCTGATAATTGCGACAGATTGCTCGGGAATTGCGGGGGCTGTCGAGATGTCAGCATGCCTTCCTATTCTGGGTTACTCTCGGAGGATTACCTACGGTACAGATGAGACATGTTCGCGGGATAAGCACGGATAAACTGAATAACGGTTATTTTCGTGTCTAGATAGTGTCTCTTCCAGTACAGGCTTCTTCCCCAGATGCGACGCTGATTTGTCTAGATTCGACAACTGTTTGCCTTGCCAAAGACGAGTACCGAAACTCGACACTGAGATGGCCAACACACAGCAAGGGTGGCGTCTGAGATGATCTACCAATCAGAGGTCGTTTCAACAGCTGAGGAGTCGGATAAGGGTTTATCCGTCTCCATCTAGGCCGCACACGGTAAGCGTGCTGTCAATGATCACGAACGAGCAATTGAAGAAGAGACGCCTGGGGGGGGGGGGGGGGGG